CAAGGATACGTCCTTGCCGTCACAAACCAAACGCGAAAAGCAAGCGACCAGCCTTGACACGAGGCCTGTGCAACGCGGATTCGTGGCTAACAGAACTAAAACGGGCACCTCACCGTCGTCGGTTGCTCTCCGGCATGTCCTGGTCTTCTCCGTCCGGACCGATTCGGTCAGCTCTCCTGGATTCGCCGGGGTCACCCTCTCGACAAAATTCCTTGGCCTCGAATCTCAACTCGCGGCACGGCAGACTATCTCGACGGCACGGCAGATTCGCGTACGTACGGGAGCCCAAAAATATGCGTGTGTCTCGCACATCTTCTTCTTCTTCTTTGCACTTATGGCTCCGTGCCCCTTTAACTGTTTAGGCACCGGCCAGTCTTTGCTTTAAGCGCACAGGCTAGCTTGGACACAACACTAGGCTGCCTGCTGCGCTGTGTACTGAGACTCAGGATCTAGTAACAACAGGGGAACAAGCAGGAAAGGTAAACACAAAAGGAGTAGGGGGGTAAGGGAAAGGAAAGGGTAAAAGCTTGTTTGCAAAGGAGATACCGATCTACTAGGACGGTTATATATTTACGTTGGTTGTATTAACAAACTTTAACAAAGCAAACATGGCGCTAACGTTATCAGAAAAGGCTACCTTCTCTACGCTATACGGTGGACTAAACCCATTGTGATACAAATCGATTAGCAACCTGTCCGAATGTTCTTTATTACATGGACAATGGAAGAAAACATGATTAATATTTTGTTCCGGTTGGCCGCACTGGCAGCTCGCGCTATCAACTATATTTTTCTCAAACAGGTGACTGTTCACTGCTGTGTGGTATGTACGAATTCTAGACACTAGAGAAATTAACTGTCTAGGGAGGAACTTCCCTTTCTTAGTCTTAGAGTACCAAGGTTTGCCCAGCGGTTCCGGTACATACTTAAAATAGCGACCACCCTTATGGCGAGACAAACTAAGGAGATGCTCTCTAGACTGCTGTAAGATAGTCGACCTGATAGAGGGGAAGAGGGAAGAGACCTCATGTTTTTCAGCTGGTTCAGGTAGAGACAAGGCTTGTTTTGCATGTGAGTCAGCGAGCTCATTGCCATGAACGCCTACATGGCCAGGTACCCAGACAAACTTAACTCTGACTCCCTTTCTTTCTAACTTCACAACTACCTCCTTTATTTTGTACACAACTAAAGAATGATTCCCTCTCGGGTCCGGTGACTCCAGGCAACGTAACACAGACAGTGAGTCAGAGGCTACCACTACTGATGGAAAACCAAGATCATCAGCATATTCCAATGCACACAGCACTCCCATCGCCTCCGCATCGAAAATAGTAGACGAAGCGCCGATCCGTTCTTGGTGGACCAACACTGGGTTTACGGACACAACAGCAAACCCCACAGCTGCCGGAGAAGCACCGTCACTTGGGCGGGCCAGAGAACCGTCTGTAAAAAACACTCGAGTAGCACCAGTTTCCGATAGATAGCCTGAAAACACACTCTGAGGATCCTCAGACTCACGAATCCGATACCCTACCTCAGTATCCACACAGCACCTTCTATAACCCACCCCAAAAGGGAGGGCCAAGCTACCCGGCAACGTATACCTGATAACATTCCTAGTGATCGGTGCTAACTCCTTGCCAATCTCCATGAGGCCAAACCGGACGCCCACGCAAATTGGAGACCAGTTCGCACAATTCTCCTCGATCAACCGTCCCACCGGGTGATTGGTCCTCGCCAAAACCCTGCAAACATACTTGCTAAGTAGGTACCTGTGTCTATACATCAGGGGTTGTTCACACACTAAGTCTAACAACACATTGGTCGGGGTAGTTCGCATAAGGCCACACGCAACTCTAACACACGCGTACTGTAACCTATCCAGCACCTGCATTTCCTGTTCACCGAGAGGGAAGGTGACCTGACAGCCCCACTCAAAGACCGACCTCACCAGTCCCTTATACGCCGTCATCAACACCAAAGGGTGCGCACCCCACTTTATACCTGCAATTGCTTTTAGGATGTTAACCCTAGGAAGGACCTTATTACGGGTCATAACAACATGTTTTTTCCAACTTAGTTTATAATCAATATAAACACCCAAAAACTTTACATTCCATTCCACCTTTACAGGTGACTGTCCGATTTGTATTTTGATATTATGTTTTTTGATTAGCCACTTAGTATTCCTTAGAGAATTTAAGGAATAGAATGTAGCTACAGATTTGCTAGGCGATATGTTCAGGCCCAGAGAAGACAGGTGTCTGTGGACATTAGACAAGGCCATATTCAGTTGGCAGGAGACCTCGGTAATAGACTGTCCCGTGCCATAAACTACCAGATCGTCCGCATATATGAGTGATTCAACCCCAGGTGGTAGACTTGACTCAACGCGAGACATATACAAGTTAAACAACAAAGGGCTCAACACAGAGCCCTGTGGAAGTCCTCGAGTGGTAGTTCTATGTTGAATAAAAACACCCGAAGCATACACCATCAGATCCCTAAAACTGATCACTGACGCAACAAAAGCTACAGCACTGGGGGTCACCCCGAGCCTCGGCAGCATTGACAAAAGGATCTCAGGGACCACATTGTCAAATGCGCCCTAAACATCTAGAAAAACCGCGCCAGTGATTCTGCGGGTGTTATTAGCAAGCTTAACTTTGGAAATGAGCACAGAGAGGTTATCTGTACAGGACATACCCCGTCTGAACCCAAACTGATGGGGTGAGAAGACTTTACTGTTTTCCGCCCACCACTCGAGTCTTCTGCACACTATTTTTTCAAGTACCTTTAATAAGTTGTTGGCTAACGAGATGGGTCTGTACGATCCACTACGACCAGGTTTTGGGATCAGTACTACAAAGTACTGTTTCCACTGTTCCGGATACGCCTTCTGTAAGTACATCCAGTTATACAAGTCCAGAATGTACCGAAGTAACTCAGGAGGAAACTGGGTAATAATAAGATTAGTTACCAAATCTGGGCCCGGGGCCGAACGTACCTTTAGGGACTTTACCGCAGATGCGTACTCGTCTTGGGTTACCGGGTTATCCATGAATGATCCATCCACCACTGAGTCCAAACACCCCATCTCCTGGAGTACCTCCTCTCCCCTAGGGGCAGCACCAGGGTTTAACGGGGCAATCTTTTCCATCGCTTGACACAACCCACCCTGGTCAAGGCAGTTTCTGTTCCCTGCATATCTAGATTTACTACGAGCACCTGAGAAGGCCCTGACAGTGTTTCAGACCGAGCCTACATCCGAGTTAGCATGGAGGGACTCACAAAACTTTCGGAAGGCAACTCTTTTCTTTTTCCTGAAGAATCTGTAGGTCTCCTTTGAAACCCTGTTGTAATTATCGAAGTTTTCCTTGTTAGGACGAGCAAGAAATTGTTTGCAAGCTTCCTTTTTTTTTTTGTGTTCCTCAGCACACGAAGTGTCCCACCAGGGGGAAGGAGGTTTCCTAGAGGTACCTTGTCTACAGACCTTCGCGGCCCTCGCCTGTAACAACGCACCTTCTATCAGTTTTGCAAGACTTGAGTAAACAGAACTAACATCTTTCTTATCAGAAACATCTAAGCATAGGAGGAACGGGACCTGAGACACACAAAGTGATCTAAAAAGTTCCCAGTTGACCCTACCCACCGAGTAATACGGACGGCAGGCCGTTCGACCAGAAAAACGACCGCGTACTTTGGTGATTACAGGCAAGTGGTCACTACCGTAATGGAACTCGCACACCTCCCAGAAGCATTGAGCGGCAAGATCTTGGGAGACTATAGTTAAATCAAGAGAGGAACGGCTAGACAGATCTGGCGAACACCAGGTACAACTACCATCATTCAGAACAGAGAGAGAGAGACTGGTTACTGCTCTCTCGATTTTTCTCCCTTCAACATTAACAGTAGTGGAGGAACCACCCCATAAAGGGCTCTTACCGTTGAAGTCCCCACAGATCACCACAGGTTGAAACCTGGAACAGGTCAGGAAGAAAAGGGACCAAAAGTCCGGATCTGTGTAGCCACTACTACAACGAGGAGGGCTATACACAGAGAAGACATACAGATGCTTTCCTTTAGGGAAAAGAAGTTGAAGAGCTACTAACTCCACTGAGTTCTGACGACAGACATTATAGAGATCGGGAACGTCTAGCAAACGGAACTTTATGTGTTTAGCAACAACGATTGCAACACCACCTCCCTGTCTATTGCGATCACGAGAAATGACCTCGTGATTTGCAAACGTCACTATAGATTTGTCGTCCAGATAGGTTTCACAGAAGGCCGCCACTTCAGCTCGAGTATCTTGGAGCAGAAGTCTAGCAGAGTCCAGGTTACGAACCAAGGAGCGACAGTTCCATTGGACCACTGTAATGGAACCCAAAGATGTCATTTCAGCGTACGCGACTTACGTTAAACTTTTTACTAAACTCACGGAGAGGGAGGACACTACCTCCTTTATGATATTTTGCATGTCGTTTTTGCTAAGTTTGGTTATATCGAAGGGATTTGAACCGTCTTTAAATTTGTTTAAGACATTTATATTTTCCTCAACTGAACTAACGTTAACCAAAGATAGGGGTTTTTGTTTATTTTTCAAACAAGTAAGGTCACGACGAGGCAACACAGCACGGGTGATACTCTATTGACCACAGTACGATTCGACACCGCTCGATTCGACACAGATTTATTCGACACCAAATTATTCGACACCGTACNTAACCTGAAAAATTTTAATTTTGAAAGTTTTGCTACGCGACGGTTTTTCTTGATGAATTAAACCGATTTATGCGATTTTTAGCAATTTAAAATTTTTTCGCAAGGTTAGGTGCCTGGGTTAGGTCTTATCCCTTTAACCTGAAAAATTTCTATTTTGAAAATTTTGCTACGCGACGGTTCTCTTATTGAGATTAAACCGATTTATGCGGTTTTTAGCGTTTTTTAATTTTTATCGCAAGGTTAGGTAGGTAAGTCGCCTGGGTTAGGTCTTACACTTTCTACCTCGAAAATTTTAATTTCGAAAATTTTGTTACGCGACGGTTCTCTTATTGAGATTAAACCGATTTATGCGGTTTTTAGCGATTTTTAATTTTTATCGCAAGGTTAGGTAGGTAAGTCGCCTGGGTTAGGTCTTACACTTTCTACCTTGAAAATTTTAATTTCGAAAATTTTGTTACGCGGCGGTTTTCTTGTTGAGATTAAACCGATTTATGCGATTTTGAGCAATTTTAAATTTTTTCACAAAGTTAGGTAGGTTAGGTGCCTGGGTTAGGTCTCCGAACTTTCAAATTTCTTTACACAACGATTTGCCGCCGCGCCCTGAAACGTCTTACGCGCGTTGGGTAATTTTCCAAAATTCTCAAAATTTTTAACTGTGGAAGACTTTACTTTGCTACGGCGTTTTAACATGAATCGAACCGATTTATGCGTTGTCTAACCGACCTTTTCACCAACACTGTCTTCGTGAACAGATACTCGCAGTTACAGCGTGTCTAACCACTTTACGTCTAACCTCCTTGACCCGACTAACCTTAAGCTTGTCCTTGAACACTGCTTCCCGAGCTGAAACTTTTTTTACTAGGCACTAACCTTTAGTTTCTTCTTGCTTTCAGGAACAGCTGCTCTGCTTCAACTGGACTTGTCGCCGCTGGATCGCCGTAGAAGGTAGGTATAGGTAAGTGTTACGTGTTTTTTAATTTTATACTCCGTAGAGTTTATTTGAAACTATACCGCTTGTTCCCTATGCTAAAGTAACTTGTGCAAAAAGGGATTTCAGGTTGAGGTATGTTTTGCTGACTCAATAGTTTATTTCTTCTTTTCTCTTGGAATAAGTAAGAATGAGTAGTTGGACTTTTGGGATAAGAAAAAGAGGGTTCTTTGGTCAGGAGCCCTACGATATACACTAGAGTTGATACTGGCTTACCTTGGTGGACTTTGATAAAACACACCCGCGGTTAGGTACTAACCCGAAAATTCGAAATTTTGGAAAATTGCTCAATTGTCTCGCGACTCGATCACAATTGTTAGGAACAACTTAAAAAGTTGACTTGGACCGTAAAATTCGTGATGACAATTTTTTTAGTTTAAACGCTAATTATCCTTATAACGAAATCGAATTGACCAATAAAAACTTGACTGTGAACGAAACTTTGTCGTCCTAAGTGTACCACGGTGTTATGCCACCTTACCAAATATCAAATCTTTGTGCCTCTCGGTTTACTAACTTTGACCGGTATCACTGTGTGACCTTCACAGAAAATCGCGATTTGTGAAACCTCACGAAATTCTTTTAATTAATGCGTTTTTAAAACGACTTACCGTGCGTACACCGCACAATTGCCAACTATGAGTCTTTTAACAAACAATTCAAATGTAATCGAAATGTATAACACCTCTAAACTTGTTTCACAAACCGTGACGCGGTATGTTTCTTGCGCAGTTATACTAACTCGCTTTACTTTACTTTTAACAACCGTGTTAAAGAGCGTTTTATCGCTAACGCAGGAACTGATATCCTTAAAACAAAATATTACACACACGCAACAATCTTTGAAGCGCGGTGAGGCGCGATGAGTCACCGCCACTTGAAACGCGTTTGGACTTTGCTGGATGACGCAACTGTTTACGCGCCACCGTTTTGCCGTGCGTGCTCGACCTTTGTCGGGCTGACGCAATGTTTGCCAAACGAGTTTACGGCGCTCGTTCGATTTACGTGACTCTAACGTTCTTTTATCAAACTTTTTATAACAAACTCGATCCGTTAGTCCTGTCACGGTCGCCAATTTTCACCCCGGCAAGGTTTAGTGCGTGTACTGCGAGACGCACCTCGCGATCGTGACTCTAAGCGAGAAATTTACCGTGTTGATCGAACCCGAGACTGCAGGGTGGAATTACGAGCTGTTATATCGAACGTTTTTGTTAAGAG